CACTGGACCCATCAAGAGAGATCTGTCAGAATAGAAGTTGAGTTTTCACACTCAACTGTCTCCTTTTTACCGTAAACTTCCCCAGCTGGGGAAGTTTCTTCTTTAAATAGATTGGAGAAATCGGTCTCTTAAAGAAAACTCACAGCAAATTTCCCCGGCCAGGGATGTTTGCTTCTCAGTCGGAGAAGGGTTGAAAAGATGAATATCAAAAACATCAGTTGTCCTGAGAGCTACTTTTTTCGAAATTGATACCAGGAAGTAGTTTGTTGAAAACTTTCCTCACTCCTGTGGTTAATCAAATATCCAGCGCCAAAAGTCAGGGGAATAAACCCTTCCATACTAAAATTCCTTGCAAAACACAGGCGAAGGGTCAAAGAGCTGCTTGTAAATTACCTGATGTTTAGAGATGGAAGCATTTATAACCTCAGACGTTCTTTGTTCTATGACATACTATGTAGATCTTTGTCATAGACGAGGTCATAGCTACAAAGAGCTCACTGTAGTTCTGGTTGAATGTCTTGATTCTGATCCTTGCCATGGATACGGTCAGATCAGTTCTTCATGACTCAATTAACCCTTTGCAACTGAGTCACTTAATCATTTGAAGCAAATTATTAATCATGACGGATGTTGGAAGTGTATATTTCAGGAGGCTAGAGTTAAATATTAAGTTTAGATTGACAAGAGTATATTAAAACCATGAATTTAAGTTGTATTTTTTATTTTTATTCTATCAGGTTTAAAATTTGAACAGGTTTAAAAATGAACAAAATATTCATACATTGGTATGAATATTTGATAGAGGGCACAGACCCCCCCCCCCCTCCTCACCATGGACCCAGAGTCTGAACAACATGGAGGCAGAGAAACTGACTTATTATTAGACTGAGAGGAGCCAGAATAGTTCATTTTGACAAATTATTATAGTTCGCTACATATTATTGCTGAGGGGCAAAAACAGGCCTTCTGACATACAAATTTAAAAATAAATTTAAAAAAAAAAAATTTTCTTGCAAAAAAATCTCCAAAAAACCTTCAACTAGAGGCATTAAGGATAAAAGGGGCAGGAGGTCAAGCCCCTTTGGTGGCGCTCTTGTTGTGCACAAGTGAGGTGAGCTGAACCGGAGAAGAAGAAGAGGTCCCCGGTCGAAAATAAACGTTGACATGTGCCACTTCCAGTTATCTGCTTGAACATTATTTTATTTGACCTAGTGTATCATACACAACACATATGACTGGAAAAGCTCTATATAAGTTCAGTCCATTTACCATAAACTGTGTGGATAGGAATGGGCAGCAGAAAGACATTACCGGCAAACCTAACTCACCTCAGTCCGAAGGAATGGGCCAAAACGCCATCAAACTTTTGTAGAGAGAAAACCCAAAATATCAGTTTGGAGTTTGCTATAATGCAAAATCACACAATACTGACGTGGATAGTGCTACTACAAACGCTGTGGTGGATCTGAACCAGGTAGAGGCGCTATAGTAGAGAGGCATTTGGATTTCCTCCCTTTGTCAGTAAAAATGTCTTATAAGGAGCTTTTGCACAAAACCAGTAAAAATTTGATTTTTATTCTGGGCCAGAGTGTTGGGCTAACTAACCAACCCTGCCATTTGTTTTACCACCGCATAGCTAAAAATACCAGTTCCATTGCCTTTTTAATTCAATAAGATGGTGTGACTCAGTAGATGACATGCCTCCATGCAGGTTGCTGTGTTCTGACTCACGCTGTCCTCCGCTCCGCCAGAAGAATATGGTATCAATGTGAAATAGACGCAGGCAGGTTAAATCTGTCCCGTCCCGCGGCCTGACAGCTGCAGCAGGATTCTCACTGCTTCCCCTTGCCAAGAGCAGCGCTTACCCAAGCAGAGATACCACAGAGCTACGCGCTTTCTGCCCACCTCGTGTTGTTCCTGTTTACATCTGAACATTTCCAGCCTGCGCCTGTTTCAGTCAGCCAGCTCACAGGACTCAACATTTCAAAGCAACTCTATCTGGATCATGAACATTTGGTTTCTTTTTTAAAAATCATTGAGTCTTGTTCAAGATTATTTTGAAATTTTGCCTAAATATTAAAATGAACATGATTTTGGCTAAATAAACGCACAAGCGTCAAAGTAGGAGCAGATATTTGCAAGCCTGCAGTTTGTACTACATTTTCGCCTACATTTGTTCTGCTAACAATGGAGCTTGGTTTGGTTGATCATTTTAATCAAGTCTTATTGGCCATTTTCAATTATTTCTTCTGTAGACTGCAATTAATGAAGTGGTCACTGCTAAAGTAAGTGCTCCTCTTCTGATAATAAACCCCCGATGAGGTAATTTGGAAATAGTTGTCTCCAGATAAACAACAAGACTGTCAGCCAACTCTTATTCTTAATTAAGTCTTGAGCTAATCTAATTTTCTTAGAGCTAATTTGGCCCCAAACCAAATTCTTTAAGGCAAACCTTGGTTTTAAACAAACATATTCACATTGAACTGTTATATTGCATCTAAATAATTACTTATGTTTTGTCTGGTGTAACCCAATTATAATTCGTTGACAGTTATTTTGGCCTCATTTCAATTTCATCAAAAGGAAACATTCACAGTTCATGCATGTGTTTTCCAGGCATATAGCGCACAATCAAGTAAATGTGATATGTTCAGTTGTTATAAAGTGCTATATAGATAAAAAATGACAAAGAAATTTGACTTTTTAAATTAATGTCTTGAAATTGGGCCTCTGTCTCTTTAAAAACTCCTGCTCTTTCTAAAACTCTGCCTTCAGGAAATCATCACAACATGGCTTCTACATGGTTTCCATGGGAGACCAAAGGATTTCTCAAACATGCCTGAAAGAGTCAAGGCAATGCTCCATGAAGGAATAACATTATAACATAATGTCACGCTCAAAAAGTCGATTTTACATACTGCTGCACCTTTACAGGTAAATGTCACAAATTCACCCATTAGCTCTTCACCATGAAAAAATATTCCAAATATTTCCCACAGCTATTTTTGATTTGATTTTAGTTGCTAAGAGAAAGCGTACATTTTAATGTAAATATTAACGGTCTCAGCAGATGAGCAATTAAATTGTGGAAAATGTTTATGAAATCCAACCAGTCAGGATTCACATGTCAGCATGATGCAGAGCAGAGGTATTTATCCAAAACTCTGAACTCTAACAATGTGGTGTGTGAGGGCATGGAAGTTAACCACAGTGACCCTGGATAGAGATCCAGTGACTCTGACAAAGTGCAGCAGACACCCGTGGCTAAACCATGGAGTCTGTTAAATGATTGTCACATCTCCTGATGCCAGCATTTCATTGGAGGGTAGCATCCAGAAAACAGCCAGCCGGGAGAATTAAATCCTGGACTTTCCCACCTGCTGCCCTGGACTGACTCAACGTCTCCCTGCAGAGTCCTCCTACTGAAGCTGCTTAACACCAAGTGGCTTCTGAATTCTATGGTGGTCGATAGCAAGTGACAAAAACCTGCTGCAAAAAATCAAGATTGAGGCAAACTCCAAAACACACACACACGCACACGCACGCCCGCCCGCCCGCCCACCACACACACACCCGCACACACACGCACCACGCCCGCACCACCACGCCCCCGCCCGCACGCACCACGCACGCACGCACACGCACGCACGCACGCACACACACACACGCACACACACACACACACACACAGAAAAACAACAAATGCAACGGAGAAATGCTGCAACCACAGGAAATAATAGAAGCAGAATGAAAAATGCTGAACAAAATAGCAAAACAACAGCAATTTGATGATCGCCAGGTCATGGGGCCAGATTCACACAGTTATCATGATTTAACTGGATGAACACGACAAACAATAAAGAAATGGTGCGTAATATTTCTTCTTTTTTTTCTCAATAATTTTAAACAGAATATTTACATTGATAATGTTACCTACTTCAGACTCCCCTAGCCTGGCCATTCTCTTCGTTCAATAATTCCACTCAATTCTCATCACCCTTCACGGTTCAATCTAAAATTTCTCCCATTCACGTAGATTCTCTCCAGCAGAATTTCTGCCGGGCCAATCGGAGAACAGAAGAAGTTGCAATGTTTGTTGTTGTGAGTTGTAGACTGCCTGTAGGTTTAGCAATGGCAGCACAGGAACTGACCAGAGCCATTCAGTGTTGGTTACTCTTCCACATATTGAACTAACATCAACAGCCGACTCATTTGACTCTGCACTTCTCTCTTGGCAGTGGAGGATGTTTGGTTTCAGAGGGTAACTTCTGGTAAGCTTTATACCATCAAACCGGCACATTAACAACTGGGTGAAATTTAAAACTTTGACAGAGCCCACGCCCGCAGGAAGCTATCATTTCTCAATAGCAGTGGGTCCAGACCCTCCGTGGGCTGTTTTTTTTTTTTTCAGAATAGACGCCCCCTAGTGGTCTGGAGCACTTTTGTTTTGTGAAGCAAGTTTGCAGCATTTGATACTTGCTGTTATAAAACTAAGTTTTCTTTTGTCTTTTTTTGTAGATTATATCAGTGTTTCCTGCAGTCTGTGTACAAGAAAACTAAGTGATTGCTTAACACAGTATAATTTACTGGACGGATAAGCAGGGATGCAGATCTTTGCCAGGTTTTTATTTTTTTAGTTTTTTAGTTCATGTCTTGACAGCAGTCTACCAAAACCTGAGATCCAGTGAAGTGCTCGCTTTGCTGTGACCGATGTGTAAAAACTTGTTGCCTCTCAGCTGGAGCTGGTCTCCTGTGGGAGCCACGGCCACCAGTTGGTTCCAGCATGAGAAAGAAAATGAGCTCAATTAAAGCAAAATGAATCTGTCTGAAATTCCTGTCGGGACTGTGCAGTTCACAACAATATTCTCACCATTTATGCAAGCGCCGCAGTGCGGTACGATTGAAATGCCCGGGAAGCAGATGAGAGCAATAACAACACATGTTGGTGTGGACGGAGCACGGAGGCTTTTAGCTCTTCACGGCGCGGCGGCGGCACTCACTTGTTTTGGTGCTTGGAGCCCTGCAGGTGTGAGTGGTACTGCGCCACCGAGTTGAGCGTGACGCCGCAAACTTCGCAGGTGTAGCTCCGCTTCAGGCCTGCAACCAAACACAAACACATGGAATGAATCAATTCAGGAAACACACGCCGGCTGCTTCTCAGCCTTCATTACGCCGGACTGACACGTCTTAAATCATGATGCGGGAATGTGATTTTCACTCTATTGCACAGTCGGTACATGGACAAGCCATCCAAACCAGAAAAGCAATTCTGCAAGGCAAAAAAATAAATAAAAAATTTAAACGGATGATTGATTGATGCAAATGGATTTTCATCTCACAGGTGGACTTGCAGTGTCTTTTTTATGATTGCGGGCAGCTGGTGATGGAGTGGAAAAAATCTATTAGACGTGCACCTACAGGGGATGGAAGACTTCCGGAAATTGCATTTCACATTTTCATCTGAGAGCATCTGGTTTTTTTCTTAGCACAAAATATTTGGCTATAGACTTTTAGGTTGCCCCCTTTAAACCACTTTAACTGAACTCTGTTTTTTTGCCCAGAAAGTCGACTCGTTTGTGGAGGTGTGCTCTGACCAGAACCAGAACAAGAGCAAACTCTGTTCCTGCTTCCTGCCGTCTTCCTTGTTGATTTTACAAGTAGTAACATCCGGCTGTTGATCACATGACTCATGATGAGAAAACAGTTTCCTTTGCAAGTTTGCGATATACATCTATTTCAGTACAGCTGAACAAACACCAACCAGTCCTAGTGCAGAAGCTTTTATCGAAAGTTTTTTTTTGCTGTGTTCCCATTCAGTAAATTATCTTTGTAATTCCCGTTTGTGCAAAATTCTCTACGACAGAGTTAAAATGGAGGCAGTTTTTCTTTTTCTACAGTCAAACCTCTGCTAGTTTCCCCACTTTTTAACTCCTCCAACAAATGAAAATTGCACTCAGAGTTTCTGCTGTGCCTCAAACGTTTTCTCTGTAAGTTCTGTTCTCAGCAAGTGTTTCATCCAGGAAGATCACAACCTCCTTCCTCTATTTCCTGCGGAGCTGGCCACTCAACAAAAGATGACAGCCAAACGGTTAATAAAATATTCAACTTTGACCTCCTTCGAGGACATCGACTCTTGGGCAAGGATGTAACAATACAACATCTCGGTTGACCCCACCTTTACTAAATTTGGCTCATAGCATTTAGCATTTTTAGCATAGCATTTTTTTTTATTGTCATTGAACAGGATTCAACGAAATTTCTATTGCAACTCCCGTGCAAAAAGTCAAATATATACAATATTAAATAAACGAACACACAATAATAATAATATATACAATAACTAAAGGCACTCAGCCACACCAAAGAAGAAGAAGCAGCAGGTCCAATTATGGTAAAGTGCAGATGATGTGACAGTGCAAGTGCAGAACAATATGGGTGTGTGGTGGTGTTGTTTGTTTGCGCTAAACAAACAAACAAAAAAATCTGTGATTGAGCTTTATCTGAACTTCATGTCTGAACACAACTCAAACGAACCCAGATCTGTCTGCATTATTTGGCGTCCCGAAATGCTAATCAGTTGCTAATATTCTTTTAATTTAATCACACCAGCAGCCTTTTCACTGCGATTACAGATGCGTCGAGTGTTGCTGTGAATTGTGAGCAGCCCGCGTAATCGCTGTCGTGTTGCACTAATCTTATTGTGGCATGAATAATGGCCCACTTGATTGCCTTGCTTTCAAAATTAAGTTAGCTTCCCCATTCGCGTGGCCCACGGCGAAAGGCCGAGAGACAATAAATGTCACTGTGCTCTCATTGAGTCACATTTCCATATCCTCCTGCATCTGATAAAACGTTTACAGAATCATATGTCTCCGGAGATTGAGCTGCTGAAATTTAGAAAGGAGAGTTTTTTCCTCTCTCTCCTTTCTTCTTTCAACGTTTTGGCAGGAGGGAGTGGAAATCTGTATTTTAGCAGCGGTTTTCTTCTGAGACGGCGGTGTCAGCTGTTTTCCCCCTGACTGTTTTCCCATCTAACATTTTGATAGAGGGCAATATCAGCAACCCCCCCACCCCGACTCCCACCCACTGCTGATAAGCTTTCACTGTCGGCGCCACACGCAGTCAGCAGATGACATGAACGTTTTGCAGCAGGTAGCCTTTTTTCAGACTCTTTTCCAAAGGGTGAGATGTTGTGCGGCTCCAGGAATCAGTCAGTGCCATCCACCTGTAACCGCTGCCTCATGACGACGTGCTGCATGAGCAATGGAGCGCCGGCGGCCCCGGGGCCTTGACAGGCTCTCCCCTCCATCACCTTTACTTCCGAACCACTGGGGCGGCGCCGATGAGTCACTGGAAACTCGTCTGTGGAGTTGTGAAATGGAGATTCGGCTCTGGAGGGGAACGCAGGGGAAGAAAAATGGGCTCGCTGGTGTCATTTATATGGATTAGGATGGAATTTCTCTTTTTTTTCTCTCTATATGAAAACTGGAACAGATTGTGGAGCTGATGAATGTGGAAGCAAATTTCCTCTGATGTGTTCCATCTTTATTTAATCTTGAGCTAAAGTTTGGAAAGAAAGTCACCCGACTACAAACTGCAAAAACAAAAGAAAAGCAAGTTAAGACTGCATAAGATCACAATACATCTTGTGGCTATTTCAGATAGCACCCACCCCCCACACACACGTTTGTTTTTCTAATCATTTTAAACTTTTTTTTTATTGACTTCCATTCATTTTAGTAACAGTATTATTGCGTAACCCTAACCAGGCCTGACCTCTCAAATGACCCCGCCTGTGTCAGATCGGGTGTCACAGTTACGTTCAGAAACGTTGCATACAGACTTTCAGACAACGTTCACAGACGCATGACAAAAATAGAGATATTGTTAATAGTATTGGCCACCATCCAGGGTTTAAAGATATTGAAATTGATTAAATAAAATTTCAGCAAAAAGATGAATTTTCCCATAGTGAAACATTCTGACACAAAGTCAGAATGTTTGACTTTCGACTTTCTACCTGCATTGGGCCGACGTAATCTGAACATTTGCTCGATAGCTAGGTTGTCATCTTAAAGTGAAAGTGAATGTTAAAGAAATGCAGCTAGAGATGTTCTATTTGGCTATCTATCAATGATCAATCATTCATTTCAGCAAAACAATTTTTCACTAATATTATAATGGCAATCTTTTCGTTCACATGGGAGCAACGAATATATGTATATGTTGCATTTAACCTTTGCAGGTGACTTATTTTAAACCTTTGAAATATGAGAATCTTCCGACACGTTTTGTTTGAGACATTAAAAGTTGTTTTTTTACACATTTTATGAAAATGGCATATTTATATTTCAAACTTAGAAAATGAAGTACAGTGATTAATCATGATTAGTGTGATGAATCAGATGAAATCTTGCAATACTTGTAGCTGAACTTGTTAGCCAGCTAAAATCACTTTGTGTCACTTGATCAAACAATAGATGTAATATTTTATTGCTACTTTTATTCTATAACTTTGCTTCTTACAATCTTACATATCTTAAATATCCTGATGAGGACTGGATGTTTTAGCTGTACTTGTTGCTCGGTTAAGAATCCTTAATTATGCTGCAACAGCCTGACTATCCTGTTTCCGCTCAGCTAATTGTGAGTTATTAAGTTAGCGGTTTGCAGGGAGAGTGTTGGCAGCGTGGCTGATTGACAGCGCGCTCCTCCTGGTGGACTCCTGGTTTCTAAAGGTGGTGTTGGGCCGAGCTTCATGCGAAATGAGCCAGCTGCCACCTGGCCCATTCACAGGCTGGAAGCTGAACCCGTTCCTGCCCCGGCTGAACGGGCGCCCGCCAAATCCCAATGTGGACCAAGCAATTTGTTTGAATCACAAAGTAGACTGTAGCATGAAATGGACTTCCATAATGAAATCATTGCTCAAAAGTGCTTTCATCCCCTTGAAGAAATAAAATGGTCGCACTTGCCAAATCCCAGATAAGACCGGTCTCTGAATTTGAGCAGAAAGCTAAGATTAAATATCCCGAAGCGGTCAAGCATCTGAATCGAACGTCAGATTGAAAAGCCGGCGTTCTTTCTTTCTTTACTAAGAGGACCCTGATAAGCTCAGCGCAATTTCCCCATCTTTGAGGCTGCTATAGATCTATTTTTATTGTCACAGGGAGCGCTGAATAGAAAGCACGGCTGTGAGCAACAGCTTGATAACTGCAACTTGTGAGCTGCGACGACGCCTCTGAGGAGGTGAAAAACAAGCTAAATCATGTCTGCCACCACCACGTCTCCAATTAACAGCTGTGATGGGCTCCGAGGAAACCCGGCACGTCTGATGGGACGTTTGGCAGAGTGAGGACTGACCTCAGCTGTCTGAAGAGAGAACGGACAAAAATGAGGAAACACTCTTCAGTTCGCAAACCAACCGAGAAACTGCAAAACACACAGTTGCTAGGACACTGATCCATGACGACACGGCTGATAGGGTTCAGACAGTGTGTTTTGACTCTGGTCTTTAATGTTGTCAAGAGGCCAGTTTAGATTTGTGAGTCAGTTATGGTAAATGTCCTGTACTGTTCTGTGAAGCTCCAGTCATTCACCTATTCACACACACGCTGCTGTAGCCACAGCGGCGAGGCGCGTCAGGAAATGCAGAAATTTCTTTGAATTCTGTGCATGTTGAAGCGATTCATCAGAAAACTGTGAGGCCTGAAGTAAACCCGAGCAGACTCTGCGAAAGCAGACCCTCGTGGCTGCAGCCGGACCAAAATTCAGGATGGCGGAGCCGAATCTGCGCTGGTGAGGACGAGGTGACAAAAACTCGTCATCACAATCCTTGTTATCAAAACAAAGCAAAGTCCTGCTCTGTCTCAAATAAAAATAAATAAATAAAAAAACAGCCAGCTATGGAATATCACTCAGTGGCATCATCCATCCTCTCCTTATTAAGAGCAGGACAAAGCACACGGTCCATAAAGAGACCGTTCTTCTGAACAGAACTTGGATTTTTTTGCAAACTAAAAAGTTAAGATGTGTTTCTAGGTACGTGTACAGAGCCTGAAAAGTAGTCAATTTTGTCGCCATGGTAACTCTAAACTCCAGCAGAAGTAATATCATTGAGATAAGTAGAATCACTAAGAAGGAACTGAGTTAAAAGTTGAAAAAAGGAAATAACATAAAGAAACGCACACAATTCTGCACTGCGAGAGAAAATATTTTAGGAGGAAAAATGCGTTCAAAGTAGAAAAGATAATCCATGAGAATCCAGACCAGACTCAGAGCGATGTCAAGCGGGATTACAATTGTGTGTAAGACAAAAACACTTGGTAAGATGTGTTTCTGCAGTGCGCTGATTAGGACTGAAGAGGAAAACCATCCCCATCAGGAAAAATCAGCAGCGTCTGCATGTGGGGAGGAGAATTAGCTGCAGACAAGCGGACAGCAACCGAGAAGGAGGGAATGTCGGATGAAGAAAATCTCTTTCCCAACACTCGTCAGTGCACTCGTCATCATTCTTCCCATCCATCTCTTCCTACTTTCCTCTTGGCTCGCTGGCGTTCTGTTCGGCCCCGCTGCTGTCCTCGCCTGCCTCTCAGATAGCAGAGCAAATGTGCAATCTGACACTAAATGTTGCCATAGGATGAAATATGCATCAGCTTCCATAAAGACGCAGTTTAACGCGGTGCTGCCGGGCAGAAAGTTGATGGCAGGAGAAACAGGAGATGCAGAAGAAAGACAAAGAGGGAAAGTGGCGTTGAGGCTCCGTGAAAAGGCCGTCTGGGGGTTCAGCTTCCGGCTCAGATAACCAAACGATTGAACAACGACCTTTTATTCTTTACAGAGGAGCCGATTAACCATGCAGGTTTCTGACAAGCGTGTACCGTACAGTACTGAACCTTTGCAATTACGTAAGCTCATGTTGATGGTTTTGTCCAGTTGCCTTCATTGTCGTGTCTTCTGACTTGTTCGACTCGCACCAACTTGTCTGTAGAAGTCGCAGCTGTATTTACAAAACATGGAATTAATACCATATGATCCTGTCTCCTCCCTGACATGTTTGTTGATCAAATCGCTGGATTTACGCCATTTGATTTATATGACTACGTCATAAACGGAGCTGCAGTCATTTAAGAGCAGAGACAAAAGAAACGGGGAGAAAACAGGCCCCTGGGGGACTCCGGTGCCCGTGGTTCCAGGACAGGAGGAAGATCCCTCACCTGTCACTGCCAGTCAGTCAGGAAGCTGAAGATTCACAGACAGGATGCTGTACAAACAGCTAACCAGGTCTTAACGAATGAGCTGATCAGTTTAGAGAAGTTCCTGCTCTCCTCTCAGCCTTCACTGGCTCAAATGATTTTGTGAAACTCTTAGTGACGCACAGTAACCGGGAGACAGCCAACCAGGCAATTCTGTTCCTCTCTTGTAAAACAGTATCAGGCTGTCAGCCGCAGCACAAGTCAGAGATCAGATTTACAGTGAGACGGGCTCCAGGTTTATGGGCCCTTCTGGTTCACACAGCCAACATGTTTTCAGTGGAGGAAATGATTTGATGGTAATTTTTTATTCCCAGCTTGAAGAAGAACTTGATGAGCCACATGCGACGCATTACGCTGCTTTCTATGTGGCGTCTGATTAGGCGGATCATTAATATTTATAAAAGGGCCTTCCTTAACAGCGAAATGGAAAACAGACGAGGTGGAAAATAGCCAGGCACAAACGTAAAACTATGTGCATCTGTACGTTTGGAGCAATCAGTGAGATTTGAAACAGTTACAGGTTCTCAGATGTAATTTTGTTTCAACCGTTTTAAGAAAAGAAGAGGCGTTGCTGTATTTTTAGAAACTGCAGAACTCCAGAGTGGCTGAAGATTTTCTGCTCAACAGCAGAGTCAAGATGTAAAACAATAAACTACAGGTTTATTGTTTTACTCCTGGTTTAAAACAATAAACTACAGGTTTATTGTTTTACTCCTGGTTTAAAACAATAAACTACAGGTTTATTGTTTTACTCCTGGTTTAAAACAATAAACTACAGGTTTATTGTTTTACTCCTGGTTTACAACCATTGCACCAACCAAAATGTAATAAGGGTTGAGAAGGTAAAACCTACGAATGGAATGACTATGGATTTTTTTTTCTTTTGTGTGATGAAGCCTACGCAGTTTTTTTCTATTTATGAGATTATGGGCAAAGCATTAAAAAAAATCATTTGAAAATGTAATAACCTCAGTGTGCGATGGTAATAACATTGCTTTTCTTTGGGAAGACGATGTCCTGAAAACAATGTGGGTTACATTGATAATATGTGAGACAGATTCCAGTTTGTTCATATAAATAATAAATCTTCTTCACACTCGAGGGTGACTTTTTAAGTACCACATGACTCTATGATTGGACCAATCCTTTACTTATATCTCCAATAGGAAAAACCATCAGACAACATGGGATGAATTTCCACTGTTATGCTAATGGTTCTCCACAATATCCATCCATAAATTGATTTATCCTGAAGATATAAAAACCCGAATGACACTAAACTTTATTCGTTTAAATTCTGACGGGACAGAAGTTGTCATCTTTGGAGCAGAACCTGTGAAAAAAGAACCTGGTCACTCTGTCACTCGACCTGGACGGCGTTGAAACTCCGATAATAAAGCAACGAATCTCAGTTCAACATGGGATTTGAACGAAATGTCCTGGTCCAAAATAACAGATTTCCTTCTTTTATCTCCAGATTGTAGACTGGTTGGGTGAACTGCCATGCACCCGCCATGCACCCCATGCGCCATGCACCCTGCTGAGGGTGTAGAGCTGGTCCAGGAGTTATTCCTCATGGAGGAGCACTTTTATATGTGGTGACTTGCAATACTAAAATCTACATATGTGCACTGAAAGGAAAAGATGGACAAAGAAATATACTTTTTTTCTTTCATACACAGATATGTAGATTTGTTTGGCAGCATTTCTGTTGGCTCATGGATTTTAAATTGAAGTTTCTCTTGTGTCCGACTGAACCGTTCTTAAGTATGTGGAGAGTACCTTTCATTTCCCCCATGTCCAGGGTCTGGCCCAGCTGCTCCAGCAGATCGGCTCTGGTGGCGTTCTTCTTGTGCTTCTTCCCGTCGTAATGCTGCTGAGCCATGCCGGGGTTGTTGAACCAGGCGTTGCACAGCTGGCAGTATCGATCTGAGTCGCGGCGCTGTCGCGGTGACATCATGGGAGACGTTTCTGGGGAGCTCTTTACATCACTGTGGGATGCCTCTGATAGAAAAACCGGGACAAAACAAACGTGATCATGAGTCTGCAATTTGGTCAGCAAGTTTAAAGAAACGGCTTTACCTAGTGAAGCTACAGGTGAATCTTATTTATCGATGCATCAGTGTCAAGCTGAATTACTTTTATGTAATGATCATGTGACCATTCGGTCATTCCAATCCTCTACGAGGCGATCAGATAATTCTTAGCCAAATTAGTCAGACAGCCAGAAAAACCCAAGATTAGCTTCATCCGCCATGTATCCCTTGGTAAATGAAGCATAATATGAGACGAAGTTATATAATTGTGTCATTTCTGTGATGTTTGTGATATACGAGAAAGCTAGATGCGTAATAATCTGACAAGTAATCAAATCTTAGACGTAAAATAAAAAAAAAACAATCATAGGAGTTGAAAAAATGTCAACAACAAAATTGAATTCAGTTTGAATGTCTTTCATACTTTTACAATTGTGATTTCACTAAAATAATAATTTTCAGAAAAAGCTCTACTTTATGGCCAAAAACAGAGAACAATATTAAACACAGTCATGCATTTATGACAGACAGACAGACCTTACTTCTTACTACAAACCGGCCCATTCTACTGGTTTTATCCATCCTGATGGATAAAATAATATAAAAAGAACAAAAAACATTATCTGGTTTACACCACATACCAGTTTAAACTTAGACATCCACGAACCATTCACACATTGCTTCCTGGGACGCAAAGTGGTTTGTGTCCTCTGTGCTCCTGCAGATCTGGATTTGTGGATCCCACAAAATATCTACCAAAACAGCAACACACCAAATAAGAAGCTAAACTACAAGCTCCCTTACAGCGACTTAATGCTGCCGAGTTCTCTAAAAATAAAAGGATACGACCAGCCATCAGGGGTGAAAACACAAGTTTGTCTTAGCAAGCAGAAAGGGAACAAGGCAAAGGATTTAACGAGCTCTGATCTGCAAAGCTGAACCAGCGGCCGCGGCCCTGTGATTGGAGCCCTCAGAATAACAAGCTGTTATCTTCATTAAATGCCTGAAGAGGAGAAGCTAAATTCTCCTTGGCAAACGGAGGAAATAGCCCGTTCTTCTCAAGGCGGGGCCGTTTGTGCTTTCACGCATGGATGACGCCGTTAACCCCAAACACCGCCCAGGGCTCCCGATACAAAACGCCACTATCAGCTTAATCAGTTTTAACACTCCAGCACTCAGATCACCCTAAGTCAACATTTAGTGCTGTCCCATTACGTACCATTACACCAGTCAACATTTCGAAATGGCAAATCCGGTGGAAAAAACAGCCACGGGGGCAGACTGTGAGGAACCTTTGCTGTCAGCATCTGGCTGAAGCTTCCCCACAGCGGCGGGCGCTCGGTTCTGCACAGCTCTCATCTGAGACTCGGTGGTTGCAGGACGACCTCTTCAACTAACTAATGCAACGTCAGACCACATCTAGACCTTGCAGTCGGTTCAGTGAGCAGTGATCTAAATCAGAAAGCACGGCGATTTAGATCAGGTATGATGGAATCAACAGTCTTTGAACGGATCAGCAACAGCAACATGCTGGCAGTTATCTGGCAGCCCGGGATGACGGATGAAAACAATACAGACGCTGTTCTGAACTCACAGGGAGGGAAATATTTACCGAATCCATCACAGAACATAAACAGTTATTGCAGTCAACAGCGTGATGCTTAAGCATGCATTATGTCTCATATTTATAGCGTCTCGTTTTGTAAGCAGAATTTGAATGATGCTGTACATCATCATCATCAACTAATTTCAGTTCAGTGGATGTGAAACAATGCACGTATTTTGCAAGGCCGTTGTTGGTAATTGCCGTGATTTGATTTGCAGGCGTACAGAAAGTTATTAATCATGAATTCTGCAGTCTTGAGACAATTCTGTAACTACAGGGTGTATTATATTTAATACTCTGGGGGAAATGCATTATAATTCTGGCAGACAGCCAGGCTTTAGCTAAAGCTATTTTAAGGTAGATTTACAGTTGAAGCTTTAAACTGGGTGTGAGGGCGTGCGCACTAATAGGACCTTTGTGCCTTGACCTCACTTCCTGGCTGGATGTTCACCTCCAAATTTTGTGACTTGGCCTGAATGTCACTCAAAATGGATGATTTGGAAGTTGTTCATGTCAAACAGGTTTGCCTGCACCAGCATTGACATTATTCCTCTATGAGGGCTCATTTTTGGAGTAAAAATAAGTAAATAAAAAACTGTATTCCTAATAAAAAAATGTATTCTCTACTACTGCAATTTGCAGAAACACACCAGTCCCGATCAGAAATGACAAGTCAGAGCCAGGAGGAATGGCTTAGCAGTGTCAATCATGTTTATGCACGCAGTGCTCACACCCTTTCTCCACGCAGTGAGGAGCCGTCAGGTGTGCTTGTTCAAACTTAAAGTCCACAGTTTTCTCAGAATGTCCTCCTATATCTTTAGAAGCTGATGCATTGAACTGAATCGTCCTGTCTGCGTCTCCTGCACCTGGTTGCACACTGAGGGGCTTTCATATGACCAAACCCAGAATAATAACAATTACATTAGAGGTTAGTTTTTCAAATAACTGATATGCCCGTTAGACCTTTTTCCAGCGCTGGCTCCGACACACCCACCCATCCGTCTTAAAGAGCCATTGACTGATGGTCTTGTAGGTCTCTACTGGCACTACTACATCATTACTCATATTTAATAGTTAAGGTGAAGCAAAGAAATGTGATATTGGCCTAACGGTGTTGAAAATAACGGCACAAAACCTGCAAATTTAGGCGTTCTGTTTTCTAACATTAAAGTGGAATATAACAGTCATCTTTTCATCACTTGTGGTGCTTTCTGTCTCAATACTCCTGTAAGCAGCTGTAAGGATTATTCATATTTCACATGTTTTCACAATGCAACCTCAATCCAGCATCTTTGCTTTACAGGATGATGACGAATACACCAAAGTCTGCTACCAAAGAGGTGTGTTCTGTGAAAGTGTTTTCCAAAAGTTTATTTGAGCTTATAGTGTGTAGCTTTCAGGGAGGGTTCAGCTCCATTCAGAGTGCAGAGGGTTTTTGCTCGACACTGCACCAGCTGCGTCCAACACTCTAAATGAGAAGACCTTCACCAATTTAAAATACATGTTTAAACATCAGCAAGGAGAAGCTGCAGTTTACTAATCTACCACATGGAGGGGCAACCCACAGGAACACAGCCTAACATGGCTCTTTATAATTTTACATCCATTCATCTTTCCATCTGGGGATGCACGATGTTATTGGCATGGTATCGGTATCGGTATTAGCTGTAAACTGTAATTTTGGATATCAGCCTTTCCATCAGCAACATTCACTGATATAAAAGGTTTTTTATATGACAAACCGGGGACGATTACATTTTGAAAATGATGTAACTTTATGTTATTAAAGCTAAAGTTTAATCAGTAATACCTTTAGAACAAATTTATGTCAGATTATAAATTTTTGGTTAATGTCAAATTGTCATAACGAAGACAATTTGAATGTCAACTTTGTACTAAAAGTGTCATGATTTACTGAATGACACTTTATGACAACGGTCATAAATATTCACGAAGACTTACTTGTGTTCATGACAGGTGGTCATGTCCTGTTTATGACAGTGTTATGACAGTCTTATTCACAACCCGTCAAAGTATTACCAGCTAGAACTAAACCTCCTGTGTTGTATTGTATTGGTCGTGTCCATTATATGTGGGATTGTGTTTTTGGTGCCAGCAGGCAGGAAGAGTTGGATCCAAACGACCAGATAAACAGGACTTCCTGCTGACATTGCTTCTGTAGTAATCAATATCCCAGAGCTCCAGGTGTGTTGGATTTATCCACCAGGATGTGTCTGGGTGTCTGAACAACAGCGGAGCTTTATTAACAGTTTTAGAGAATAAAGTCAGCTCTGTCCAGGAGGCTGCGCTTGTTTTAGTTCCCATTAGCAAAGAACAACACATTTAACATTTTAATGATAAAACCTCAAAGCATTTTGTTTCTGATGGTGAAAGTTAACTGTGCATATGGCTTTGTAATGGAGTAAAAATAATTAGATGTTAAACTTTGTACTTAAAGGTGAGAGTGGGCACTGCAGGCGTCACATTCAAGGCAGTAAAAAAGCCCGGCGAGAAAAAGTGAAAAACATTTGCAAACGTAAAAGTTTTCCCCTCATTTCTCATATTTGCTTGTTAGTGGGAGAGACCCTGGTAGCAGGGTGTCAGCTCAATTGATGGCTGAACCAACCCTCCCTACATTTTTTTCGGGCTGAGCTGGAGCTTCTCCTGTTCTGAACCATTGACCACAGATGGCATCCTTAATGACTGTGTCTGTCACTGACACATGGCAGGGAGAGCAAAGAGCACAGTGTGCTGTCAGAGCACTGCATCATCACGCAGCATTCCGAGCATCTAACTTGAGGAAATACAACAATGTGCTGCATATCTGAACATTTGAAATGCTAAAATGAGAGAGTCCTAGTGTGTTTCTGGCGTATTTCATCAGTGACAACAGGGAAACTCAACGTTGCTGTTCGCCTTAGGCTCTGCAGCAGGTCATCAAACCGGGGCCTCGACTTTATGATGTGTCCCTGCAAACCTGAATCAAATGATTTAATTACATTCTCAGTCTGTAGTCAAGTTCTCCAGAGTCCTGCTGGTGACCTCATTATTTGACTCGTGTGTTGAAGCGGAGACACATCTAAAAGTTGCAGGACACCTTCGTTTGAGGCCTGGATTGGAGAACCGCTGCTCTACAACATCTCTGTTACTAAATCTGGCTTTTTTTTGCTTTCTAAAAATATGCGTTACAGCAGACCTCTGCATATGGTTCACAGAATACTGGCCTGTCCGGGTTTTTTTCAATAGAGCAAATCTGAAATATCTTGGCTATGCATTTCAGGTTGATGTATCCACAGGCAGCACATTATCCTCACTCGCTTTCTAACAGATATATCCTGAGAGGAGGAGCTGTGTCTGGAAGGCGGAGCTACGTCCACTCGGGAGCTTAAAGGATTTCTCAAACAGGCATTAAAGAATCAAGGCAGTAAATTCTGTTTCTGATGAAGAAATATCACAACATGACGCAAAGCTAAAAAAAAAAAAAGATAGATTTTTGATAACACTGCCCCTTTAAATGTGCTCAGTTTCTTTGACACTCGTGTATCCTAGCGTTGTCTGATGAGTATTTGTCAACACAAGGCGAGACAAGAAGTATTCCTCTTACGTCATCATAAATGAAATAAGAGAAATGAAACACTAACCAGCATTTCGATGCACTTAGCAAAATGTAATGTTTCCTGGTTTACTGTGTGGCATCTTTTGTGCCTTTGTATTTTTTTTGTAAAGGTTCTGTTGGCTCTAGTGGCCTTTCTTTCAGAGTGATCAGACAATGAGAGCGAAAGAGAAGACATGCGAAAAAGATCAAACCGGGAATTGAACCTGCAACGGCTGCAACGAGGACTCTGGCTGTGTCAATGCGCCACCACATCACCTGGTATTTTGTGTTTTTAATGCACTTTTAAGCACTTTGAACTGCCTTGTCACTGAAATGTGCTACAAACTATTGATTGATTGATAAGACTGACAATCAGATGTGGTTTTATCATGCTAATAACTTAACAGTAACTCCTGAAGCAAACATCAGCTTGAGAAGAACTATCATGGTGTTTGTGTCACTGCATCTGCTTATACTAACAAAACTCCATATGCTTCTCTTTCAGCTTGGAACTGTGAAAGATTTACAAGCATAATGTCAGGTTTTATTATTTTAGCTGTGCAGGACGCCACAGTTACACACTTCTCTCACGGCAAAGAAAGACCAGCTTGAAACAATAAATCAAAGTTTCAAACTATGGTTTCATTCCAGTTTTCTCAATCCCCTCAATATGCATAGGAAAATGCAAAATAAGGGACAGTTTGGCCCTAAAGTACCGAATAAATTAGTTCAACACAAACTCTGCAGCGAGAACAAACAGCAAACCCCATTTTTCTGCATCCACTTCTGGTTCAATCACTGCCTGAGAGCATAAATATTTCAAGCTGCCTAGTAGATTTAAAGAGAAGCAGAGAGATCGATGCAGAGCCCCGGGATAAAAGTGAACGGAGCCCACAGGTGAACGAACGGCAGGCTGTAAACGCAGCACATTGAGCCGTGTGCTGCAGAGGTGACCCAAGAAAACACCAGCTAGGGATTTCTGCATGGTTTCATTTAGGAATGAATTTTTCAATGTGCTTTCTTTTCTTAAAAGACAAAAAAACAAGCATTCTGTAGCCTCTGCTGGTCTGACGATGCAGCGTTTTTGTGCGTTTTTTTGTTGTTGTTTTTTGTGCTTCACTTTGGAGTGAAAATGCTACAATGGTTGTGCAATAAGAGGAAAATATTCAGCTCCTCCTTTCTGACCAAGACTTTGGCGCTCTATTAAGTAGATTGGGTCTTACCACAAGTAATAAATGAATACATTTAGGACGGTTGAACAATGCATGAGCTCAGATAAACAACACCATCAAGCCGCGCCGCCTTATCGGTCCGCACAGCGCCTCAGCTGCGCCCAGAGCAAAAAGTAAAAACACGGAGCTGCGGAGTGCATATAAATGACCCGGTCAAGCAGAGAGCCAGGATGCGCTCGTAAACAAACAAAGCTCACGGCCAAACTCTGCACATACACGCATGCCATGCGTGTATGTGCAGAGTGTGTGTGTGTGTGTGTGTGTGTGTGTGTGTGTGTGTGTGTGTGTGTGTGGGTGTGTGTGTGTGTGTGTGTGTGTGTGTGTGTGTGTGTGCTCAGTGACTGAGTTTCACACCAATTTGACAGTAAAATGTTTGCAGTTTGTGGCTTCGTGTTAAAGCTCTCACACCCCGTGACCTTTGCTCATTATTTCCACAGCTGCCGATTTGTAAGAAGATTAAAGGTGAGCAGCTGTTAGTGGTTCACAATCATGCCAGCCTTCAGTCAGCCTGAGGTAAGAACTGAATATCCCTACAACCTTTGTTCTCCTCAGTGGGCTGCAGCAGCAAGCGACGGGCAAGTTGAAGAATGTGGGTTTACAAAAAAAAAAAGTACGAAAACAAAACATGAAAACAGAACTAAGAGAAACATAACAGACAGTAAAAACACATTTACAGCATAAGCAAACCCCAAGCCGGGTCAGCGTGTGATTAAATTCACTCAGTGATTTGAGAAAAGCAGATCCTCAGCCAGATGTTAGGCAGTAATGAATGTTTCCCCATCATTTCAGAAATAAAGTGGTGAACTAATAGCCTGACAACATGAGAACGTTCCAACAGCACCAGCGATAATTTGGCCTGTAATTGTCACAGTTTGTGGGTGTTTTGCATTTTGGGGTTGCAGCTGTGCGCATCATGTTTAGTGATGAAAAGATGGAGCGCGTACGCAGACAGGTACTGATGACAAATTTAAGCAAATGTTGTTGTTTTTTTCAATTATAAAACACAAGAAGAAGAAAACTGGGACTTGGAAAGGAGCTAGGTGTGAACCAGGGTGTTAAAACAGAGTCTGGCGCTGAACAGAGGAAAATCAAGAGCTTGGATGAGCAGCAAACAAGTGAAGCACATGAGAGACGTTCTCCATAACCCGACAGCAGACAGTTCCTCGGTTCCACTGGGTTCAAGTCCTTTTGCTGCAGCATTTTATGTTGGTGGATCTTCCAGATCAAATCAGAGTGAATTACTGACTGCTGAGCATCCACATTATTATCAAACTCCGTTATTTATACTCAGAGCATTTTCACAATATTATGTACCTTTGGTTGTGATGGCAGGCTGTTCTCCCAGCAGCAGTTTGAGCCTCTTAGCGTGGATTTTACCCTGGTAGTGAGACTGTGCCACCACTGCTGAGGTGAAGGACATGTTGCACAACGTGCAGCACTTGTTCTTGTCCACGTCGCTCTCATCGCTGCCCTGCAAAGGAAAACAAAGGCACCAAAATGATCTGATGGTCGAGGCACAAACCCAAACGTCAAACAAAACCAGGTACCAGTTTTGTGAGGTAGACGTTGCCATGGAGCCCATTTCCCACCCATAATTAGACGGAGACTGTCTTTACAGGAGAGGACAGGCAATGAGTGCAATCTGCTTTGCTTCATCACCTCATTAATTATTGTGGGTTTGATATCTTCTGGAAAATGTTATTCGGTTTTATATGCAATAGGAAAATCCTTATAGGTCATAAAGTACAGCAGAAAGAAAAATAAAGGTCATAACAAATCACAACATTATTGTATCTTGACCACTTAATTTCTCCAACATTTTGTTCAAACTTTTTTATCATTGACCAGTCGGAAAAAATACACTCCACATGCATGCAGCTAGAATTAATACAGGGAACTATAGATGTATTCATTTTGTAAAATGTATTCATTAAGCGTTTTATAATTAATTGTTAACACTTGCATCTGTCATCATTACAGTCACTGTTCACACATCCATCCACACTTCCTGTCAATTTACACAGTATTCAAATTAATTAAAAAAGCAAATGTGAATAGAGACCCTTTTTTGTTTTGCTTTGTTTTTTGTTTCACATTTTCATTAAGAATGCTGGAAAAGAGCCAGAATGCAAATGCTGCCAGCTGGCACCGACTCCGCCGAGCCGTTAAACACTTCAGTCTTTTCTCTCTTCTCTCGCAGGATCCAATCGGGGATTTCAGCAGTACTCAATTACTTTCAGCAGCACTCCATCACCTTCCCCCGGCCAGCAGAAGGACTCTTGTGTTCTCGGCATTAGTCGATACGGTGGAACTTTTTCCCCTCTGTTCTTCAGAGACACAAAAAGCGAAAATGAAGGTCATCACTCACCAGGCTGTTCAGGGGGGAGAAATTTACTGTTTTATCTGATATTTTCTGTCAGTTTTGTGGGAAGACTCAAAAACGGATTATATTTTCTGTTCAGCAGAGATGCGCCGATCCCATATTAATATCTGGAATGGTCCTGATATATATTTTTCTCAATTGTAGGATCAGGTATCAGAAGCTAAACCCAGAGGGGCCCATCTATTCACTCTAATGCTATGATTTGTCTCGCTTTAATATGAATTAAAGCGAGACAACGTTACACTTGTCTCGCTTTAATTAATAGCAGTAGCAGTAAAGTTTACACAAAATAAAGTGTAAACTTTATTTTGAGTTCCTAATCGCATTTTCTGAACCATTTGAAAGGATTTTTGTAATTTATTTCTACATGTTCAGCCAATGTGGTCAACCTGTCGTATCTTTCAGTTTCAGTTTCTTTATCATTTCTTTCACATCAGCTGTTTTACTCCTAATTGATTAGATTACAGTTGTGTTGTTTTCATCTGCTTGACCAAGTTTGTGAAACTATTGATGTATTTAAGTCTGCTGTGCTGGTGCAAACTAATCAAATGCATTGATATTTTAGTACAATTATGTCTGTGTTTTAAAAAAAAGAACCTTTAAAAACAAAATCAGGACCGTTTTTCTGAATTGGATTGGTAATGCCTGATACTAATCAGGTATCTGTATCCAAGTAAACAATGTGGATCAATGCATCCCCATAAACATTATTGTGAAGTAACAGCACGCAAAAAATAAGCAGAGATTCAAAACACAGAGCTAAAGTTCCTTCTACACCAAAAAGGAAACCACTGTCATTTCTCAGAGAAAAGCACAATTACATATTTTTGTGTTAGACTCTTTTTTTTTTATCACAATGATTACTTGTCATGTTCCTCCCTTGCTGTTTTTTAAAATTACATTTCTTTATGCGTGGATGGAGAAACGTCTCTCGTGTCTCGTCTGGCACACGAAGCTTCACCGATTAAATCGACATTAAAACAGGAAGCCACAGCTTGGAGTGGTTACTTCCATTCCCTGAAATTTCCATAAAGTCTTCAAACATAATTTTTTTCTTTCTTTTTTTTTTACTTGTTTTTTTCCCTCTGCTACTATTTGCATATTTACAAGAAATAACAGCAACCCAACAACCGTCGTTAGAGAACGTTATCCTCAAGAGACTTGATGTTGATGGATGTGTTGGAACAACAGCGGTGACTAAAACTGTGTTCGAGAACGAGGAGAGTTTCTTCTTGCAGTATGTTAGTGCCCGGAGTAACCGGAGCCTTTTAGAAGCCGCAGAGACAAAAAACACGCACACACGAAAAACAATCGGGCCAACAAATCAGCCATGTAAATGTGGAGAGAATCATTGAATCATTTGTAACGGTAACTGGGTTGCGTTTGCTTCCAAAACAAAACAAAACATGGACTGAGACGTGGATCATTTTACTCCTCTGCTCCTATGAAAGCTCTCCTTTACCAGTTGGTTAACCTGTTTACAGACAAAGTCTCTGCTTTCCACACCGTGAGGAATAGCAGCTGAAGGTCACGTGACCCGTAGATCAACGTTTAATTTTCTGCGACGTGAAAGCATCTATTTCTCATCACACTCAAGTTGGAGGGTAATTACGCTAATTAACGTTTTAGCTAATGATGCCCTCGCTTAGAGAGGCAGGTGAAAAAAACGTCCTTTTTTCGTACAAGAAAGGTAGCTGACACTTCATAGTGGAGCAGTTTATGTGATAGAAGAGAAGTGTTTGGTTCAAACACAAAAGCTTCCCCTCAGAGGAATCTACTGTAGATTCATTGTGTGGGAGGTTCTGAACTCAAGAGAGCAAACATCCAGCTGATAGATGAGCTGGATAAATAAGCTGTTATTTAGGTGATTCAATAAAGAAAACCAAACACACGCTCAAATTTAGAATTGTTTGGTTTTTTTTATTCCACAGAACAGAAATGCCAAGAAACTCCAACGCTACCAGACTTAAAGCTGCCGAACATAATTGTTACAAAAACTTATTTGGTCTGTTGAAACTGTCACTATGCCATGATAGTGTAATAACAGACAGATAAAGAGTGCCTTCTCCCAGTGCTAATTAAGAACAACCAATCAGAGCCAGGTGGGTCTTAGTGCTGTCAATCACTCACATGTGTGCGCCACTTCCCCCCTTTGCTCTCCACTACAATGCAGTTTTTCCCCAATTAGCTTAGCCTGTCATGAATGCTAAGGTTAATTAGCATAGCCACAGGTGAAACTGTTTACCTTGAACAGTGAGTTGTTTTCTGTCCTCAGAGGGAGCAGCACGTTCACAAGGTTGATTACACACCTATTATAGCCAATGAGAGTTTTCACACTTCTTCTGCAAAGCATCTCCGCATGAAAATCTGTCAATTAATGGAAATCATCCTCATGCTAAAAACGTGACTTGTTGTATATGAAGTGCCACTCAATGCCATGCAAAATAGTAAATATATATTTGTACCAACCATGTGAGTGTGGAGGGAATTTCACCTCAATTTTCCTCTGAAGAAGGAAAATGTCATTGTTCCTTCTTGACATTGTGCTAATACAACCCTGTGTGCTCTAGACCAGCGAATGAGTGAAACACTTATTTGATTAGCAGCTTCTTTTTACGTCTTTCCCTCTGAATTGCTGCAGCAACACTTTAAATCGGTTTTCCAGTGACAGTCATGGAAAGGTCTTTCCATCAGGATTCAAAACATAACGAATCTACTGGAGGGTAAATTGACTGTCCAGTCGCTAAAGTTTGACTCTTTTTCTAAACTTTCACTCTCAACGTTTTACAGAAACGCTGCGTGTTGTGAGCAAACGACTCCAATGTCCACAAGAAGAGAACCGCAGCTATTCCCCCCTCAGAGTGTGATAACAGAGAAGCTCTTCTGTGCTGTGAGTCATTCTGATACACACACACACACACACACACACACGCATGCACGCACGCACGCACGCACGCACGCACACACACACACAACACACACACACACACACACACACACACACACACACACACACTGAGAGAGAACCCCTCCTCCTGCCCTTGGTCTTGTCCTTTACTAATTCTCATGTAGAAACTCTCTGGAGCCTCTGTTTCTTCAGCCACCAGGGACGCATCAGGCGCAGAACTCCATTTTATATGAAGGATTTCACAGCAGCATTCGCAACAGGAGATGAGATGCTAACCTCAAACAGGCAGGATCCATAATTTCACGCTTAATTAAAGCTGTATAAACGAGGCGCTAATTGTAGAGGAATGCAATTAATGGAGTGGTGTAGGTGTGCGTTCCCAGCCTGACAGTCGCAGCATCACAGGCAGACAGAGTCTCAGCTGCATTGGACTGTTGAGCAGAAGGCGTCGCAGGAAGAAAAAGATCTTGCTTCTCCATTTGTTTCCCCAGAACCTCATGAGTCATCACAAAGCCAAACACACGCTCTGCCTCGGCTGCTGCTTGTATCGAAATCTCTGCTCAACGAGAAATAACAGAATTCTGCACTGGTACAATATAGGACTCTGCCACACTTCATAGAATATGTAACTAATGGAGACAGGAAGGGAGAAGGTGGAGGGGAGGGGAGGCTGAGGGGAGCAGAGCTTGTTTCTATTCACATGAGGCATAATAAAATAATCTTTTTGATTTGCAGGCAGTAGATTCTCTTTGCTGTCAGCGCCGTGCAGCACATTTTCTTCTGGGCGGAAGTGAAACCTTGTTCCCTCGCCTCGCCTGTGTTTGCGCCATTGTGTTGCGCCATCGTGTTTGCGCCATCGTGTTTCGGTGTGTGCCGTCTCACTGCGTCGGGCTGGTGCCGTTTGTTTTTTGCCACCGCTTCAAAATTGGTGGTGAACCCACAGCCTCTCCTCCTTCCCCACCGCCGGGAGATTCCAGCGTTTGATTCCTCGCAGCTAATCCGAGCGCTGCACCGAACCCCCCGGGCCCAACCTGGCTCGGCACAGGATGATGTCTGGGCTCAGTCAGGAGGCCGGGAAGCTCCAGCTACTCGTGTGCACGTCCCCCGAGGTGCACAGAGAAGAAATAGGACAGGACAAGATTTTAAAAAAAAAAAAAGACTGGCTCCTAACATAGCTGTGGACAATCCGGTGTTTTCCTGCCAAGTGAAGCATGCAGGCGACACTAAGCAGACACTATACCCTACAGCTGCTGCAGCACACACAGTAAAGTGACCTTCATATTAAACCTGCAGGCCAAAGCGACAGCAGGGACACACATCCTGCTGGTCTCTTTGGATTAATGTGATATCGTTCAAAAAGCTGTGGAAACAATTTTTAATGTACGTTTTAAAATTTTAATAGAAACATGTCAGGCCACCAATGAATGACATGTTCCCTCATTAGCTTAAGCATGATTTATGGCTTGTATTTTGTCAGCCTTTTGGCAGTGGCAGCTTTGCCTTGCCTGGACAATTTCTTTTTACATTTTTTTTATATTTGCAACCAAACTTTATGCTTTAAAATTTTTTTTTATGTCGTCAAAAAAGTAGCCTGGACCTCATTGAGACTTAGAGCTCTGGATGCTTTCAAGACACCAAACAAACAAATAAAAAAACACATGAAGTGGAGTCTAACTGGTCATCACTGCTGGTCTGCTCCTGGGCGGACTGGCCATCAGGCATACCGGGCATTTTCCCAGTGGGTCGACAGGTTTGGGACCAACAATCCTAACATTTTATTTACTCAAATCAAATCGATCGGCAGCCCACTGACACCGGCCAATCACCGGCCTTCTCCTCGTTTAAGGAGGGATGGATACATTGAAAACAGTGATCATGAACTACTGTTAATATTCTTCAGTCCCTCCAGGTCCTCAGAATTCTGCGATCACGGAAACTATCGCTTACTCTCTCCTTCAGGTATTTCGTACTTCATCATCCTCTCTGACCTGGACTAAATCCGTCGCCCTGTCCAA